TTCTCAACCATTTCTCCGGCTTTCGCTTTGATCTCATCCGACTCCTTTTGGGTCTTTGCTTGCTCAATTCCACACTGCTTGCCCTTCCCGAACAATGCCTCCTCAAATTGGTTCAAAGCCTCTTTCCGCACGTGCTCAAACGCATCAGCGTTGTGTAGGTCCAACTCAGACATAGCAGCCAACACATCAACATTGCTGGGAGTAGAGACCCATCCCATGATGTGCTTTAGCATTCGGTTGATTTCTGAACCATCCACAGCACCATCTGGAAAGAGGAACTTCAAAAGGCTCAGCGCAATGTCCTTCTTCAGAACATTGCCGTTCTTCCCTGTGCCCGCCCCCTTGGATGGGACCGGTGCTTTGATTGAGGCACACACAGATCTTAGCTGAGCAATGGTAAGGTTGAGACCTTCCCGAATTCCAGCCCTCAAAATCCACTCGTCTTTTTTCTCAACCAGAAACGCAGACCCAAGGTGAGCCAGCTGATGAGGAAGACAGGCTGGTGGGCAGGGATGCGCGATCACCCTTCTCCATGACGGTGTGTTCTCTGCATGCCGTCAAGTTGAACATCGGCTCCACTCCGTTAAGGCCATAATTTTTAACTTGTTGAGTGGGATGAGCAGGAAGTGCCAGAAACTCCTGACAAAAGACACGCAGGCATTGTGACACAATAATATGTTTTTTATGGTAAGAACTCAAGGGTGTGACAAAGTTTAACAATAAGAAGTTTACCACCTTCCCAACATTCTGCCAGACAACCAACACGACACTGTTAGTGAGACACCGATTTCAAAATTTCATAATAATAACGCAAACCGGTCCTTTTGACTACTTGGATCTTGATAGAGTTCCAGCCGGATACCAAGACTGCAGTATTTGCAGAAGCCCAGCGACAGGTAGAAGCAGCCATCCTTTGCATCGACGAAGAGACCGCCACGCTGCAATAGGCATCCTGCAGATGGGAGGGGGGCTGAGTTTGGTCATAGGGCTAGATTTTGTTTATAATAACTAGGCTAACTAGTCAATGACGATTGTAATTGTTGTCAGGGAAAATTTAAAACATTTTGACGGGGTTTGGCAATCGTCTTTTTTTGCATCCCTGACCTGCACACACATGCATAAGGTTTCCAAACGACGGGGCGTCATACATCAAATATGATGCTGCTGCACTTGACTTGTAATGGCTCAATGGGCCTGCGTGACGCCATTCTTTCTTGTACAGCCCCCGCACCGTTTTTGGAAACACCACATCCTTTGAGCTTGATAGAGTGTAGGCGCTGCCCAATTGAAATGCTTTGTTGAAGCTTTTCATCAACGCAGTTTTGGACTGACCATAATTTGACGCAAAGCGCGTCCATGCAGAGCTATCAGGCATCGACTGTTTCATCCCACTGGATTTGACATAGGGGCAAGAAGTGCAGTAAAGCCAAAGCAGATTCGGGGCCATCTTCTTATTGGTGCTCGATCTGGCCACCATATCTGCAAGGTGCCCAAATGTGGATTCCAGTATCTCTTTTGTACTTGAAGAGGATGTCCAAAATCGACGCATCAACCTTCGCACTGTAGAGATTTCTGGGGAGTCAATGTTGAAGCGGCCTTTTCTCAACAGCATCATCATTTCCCTTGCTAGGGGTTCATCCTGAAAGGCCAAGTCCTCAAGAACTCCGGAGAGATTTCTTCTCGCCTAGCAAGATACTCAATACCAGAACCTTCAATCTCTTCAGCGCAAGGACTTGAGCAGCACGATGACGGGAAAGGAGGACACCACCACACAAGGGCAATGTCAGTGAGTACAGCTGTTGTGCCCAGGCGCAATTAGCGGCCAACTCAACGGAAAACTTTGTTGCCTGTTCAGCTAGCTGGATATCATCTTGCATTGTCTCATGGTCAAAGTCAGCGGCAGGGTTGCAGTGGGGTGCGCATCTCATAGCAGTGTACAACACCGTTGAGACTCCAGCTTTAAGCGTGTTATGCACCACATCCATTCCTGCTCCATTTGCCCGTGCTGAGACCCAATCCAACATTGGTAACAATCCCTCCGACTGTGCTTTCAACTCACTCTGATACTGTTCATGAAGAGGTGCAGCTACATGTACAACAATGCACGCATGGGCCCTGTGTTTGTCTTCACTGAGGATGTCCAGGTTCATTACATGTGGACCTTTCCCTTTGTACATGGCAAAAAGTTCTGATTTTGTCAACCTCTTCGCGGGTGGAGGGTCAGCGGATCCCCTAGGAGCTTCACCCTCAGGCGGTGCGTCATCATCATCAGCAGCATTGTCGTTTGCAGCAGCCTCATCTTCAGTATGCGCCTCATCATCCACAGTCGCGCCTCCACGGGGACCATCATCATCAACCTGAATCCGACGAGGTTGCATTGATTTAAGGAGGTGGCATGTTCCCTGAATACCTAATTTAGGTTGACTGACTATTGTGGGACCATGGTGGGGAAAGAAAGTACCTGGAACTGCTGTTGAAGGTTTTGACTTTGATCTTAGCCCAGTCACTTTGCCACCAGACACCGTCATGATAGCCCTTGCCCCCTCACGAAGGATTGTCCAATCCAGCAGCATTTGTCTGAGTGCATTGAGGACTCCAAACCACGATTTGTTTTTGACCTGCAGCTGAAATGCCGCTCACGTCCACTGTGTGAAATTTGAATGGCCCCAGGTCAGATGATTCGGTTGTATCTTCCAATATTCTTTTTAAAAATGAATGATTGGGGATGGAGTTATTCAGCCAAATTTGGTCTCCAGTAAGTAGATTGAAAAACCATCATAATGCATGACACGAAAAACAAGTGATTCTATAACACCGAACTCTGACAACTGTCTGTCATGTCATGTGAATCCGTGAATGTTGATTAATGAATGTAGTCCAGCGACAAACAAACCCAATCGCCGGATGCTGTCAGCGTTCAAGTAATCTTCCAGAAGCACTGCTGCTGAATCTGCCTCAATTGGTTGGCCTCGGTCCAAGGCAATCTCTTCAGCCATCTCCTCGAAATATTCAGGCGACTGCTGCTGCAAGAAGGCGTCTAGATACTCGGCTCGCATGGTACGTCGTTCACCACCTGTTTTGTGTCCATGACCGTAGTTAGCCGAGATAGTGATCTTCATGAGGCTAACATCAAGGTTGCTACTCTTACATGCTCTGCGAAAGCAATTCCACTTCCAGTGGTTGATGTCTGGAGTAGTGCCTCCTCTCAGTCCGCAGAAACTGAAAAGGTAGTGAAAGCTTTTGTTCTGGGTAGACTCTTCATCACATACCTTAGATTAGCTGAAGTCTGAAAGCATCATCGCTCTGAAATAACACCCCCTGCGTCGTCAGAAGTCAGAAACATTGATTCAGAAACAATTGGTAGATTGTCAACATTGATACAGAAAAAGAGGTGTTGGGCATCATTTAATTGTCAGTCCATTCATATATTCATAAATAATGTATATACTCTTTAGGCGAGGTTCAAAACGCAGGATGCCACATGAATCCATCGAATCAGGAAGCGGCATATTCCCTATGTTCTCTCCAAAGAAAGCGTTGCGGTCTTTTTTGACCCAATCTGGGATGAAGAAGTCTAGGGGTCGGCCGGCCAAGTTCATCAGGACGTGGTGCATGGCCTTCATGTTCACCTGGGCGGCGTCTCTTCGTGGTCATGTCATGTCATGGCTTCTTGATCACTGATGACTGAGTAGTTGGGCCGGGCTGGGATTCAAAGCAGGAACAACTGCGACAAATAACTATGTCACATGTGTGGTGATTCTCATGTCATGAGAACCTCATTGAATTGAAGTCTGTTTGGCTCAATTTGAATCTGGGCAAAGGACGTAAAACGATTTGGATTCCTTCATCGAGATGCGTGGCCTGCGCCGTGCAGGGGATCGATTCATGACATGACAAATAATTAGATAATGATTGATTACATGACAACCACAACCAGAAACGAACATCACGCTTTGACTATCATCATTCAATGCTGGTGAACGACTTCTTACTTATGAATTGCTGATGTTGATTTATTGTTTACAATTATATAAATATATATATATACCTATTTCTAAATATTGCATCGGTCTGACTCTAGCAGCCTAGATAAAAAAACAATCCACACGGCCACAGGCGCTCCTCATCACAGCCTGTCCATCCAAGGTGTCCGTCGTCGTCTTGGGCATGACCTGGGCGGCGAGAATCTGCATGATCAGTCTTTTTTTTGGCCACAAAGGTTGTGGCTTGGCAGGAAAAATCAAAAACACGACGCTGACTGACTTGGACCAGAGATCTATACTAAATACTGACTGAAATGAATGATATCCAGGCCAGAGTCGTTGAGATTAATCATATCGTACTCACAAGTAACTAGATTAAAACAAATATCAGTCCCAGCGCTAAACTTTCTTCTGTTCCTTTGCTGACCGCCCACACTGTGACAGTGATGGGCAAGTGTCTTTCAAAGTTCACTGGCTGTACAAGTTCTATGTCATGGCAACTCTGGAACACTATCACGAACTACGGTCATTATGTAAAGACTGAAACTAACAGGTGAAATCCGTCACTTGACTGTGAGTCAGACCAGTCAACGAGTCAAGCTCCCTCATTGACCCAGACTGCAGACTACCAGTCAGAAACTGGAAACCTAAACGCTGTCCAACAAATTAAAATGCTATGCAATAGCTCGCTATGCCACACTCACACACCATGTCATGAGGAACTTCGTCAGCCAGGGAAACGATGTAATTCACACCCGCAATCACATAGTTACTTCTTTGGTGCAAACGCTGAGCTCGAGGTCCCTGGCTGCGGCGAAGGCGACGCTGAGAAATCTCGCAGGCGATTCGGGGAGATCAATGATGACATCCAGGACCGAGGCGGAGATGGGGATGCAGTGGGAACACGATCATCTGTCCCTGACTCTGACATCTCCCAAGACCCATTGGACCCAAGACGTTTGCTGCGATGGAGTTTTGGTCGGGGTGACACTGGGGAAGAATCACGCCCAAACCTGTCGGCTGAACCCCTCCTAGGAGGAGATGAGTTCATATCCACCAACCCATCTGAGAAGATGCAAAATCCATCCCAACGCCGTGGTTTTGCCGGCGGCTTTGCCATAGGGTCCACATAGAAGCGTGCCACAGTGGTTTTGTCATCCAAGTTGACATCATCAGGCTTCCCAGTGGTCTGAGTTGCTGATGATTGCCCGGATGGCTTGCTTTCACCCTGTTTGGCGCTCGTCTTGTTGATGGTCACGATGGTCTTCTTCTGAAAAGTAGTTTGCAAGGAGCTCGTCTTCTTCTCCGATATTTTCTTCTTGAAAAACTTGTTGATTGTACTCTGATGAGACTGAGTCGAGGATGATTCAATGACCTTCTTCTCTGAGAAAAACTCTTTGATCGTAGTTTGGTTGTGGTCTGCCATCTCATTGTGGATGGGTGCCTCAGTCTCAGATTGAGACTCATCACAGGACGACCTGCTGCTGCGATCATGTTGTCGGTTGAGGCCCGCCATGACTGCTCAGACAAACGGATTCTGACAGGTCGCGAGATTGATAACGTAACGAAACTAATGCTGACAGCGCTGCGGGTTTCCTCCACATGTTAAAGTTATATAAGTTATATATTATGAAATATATGATGAACGAATCTGTCTGAATTTCAGGAACCCCCAATCGAATCGGTTCGGTCCGACTAACGAACAGTGGAACCTGTTCATTCAGCTGAGTAGTTAAGCTTCATCTTTAATATATGTAACAGTTCTTCTCACCAACAAAGAATAATAGACGCATTCCGCTTTTTTTTGTGCTGCAAGACAGACAGATGTCACGGCAGCAGCGGTGATCAGTCTGAATTATTAAACCATGACGCATCAAATCAAAGAATCATGTCATGATGATGCAAATCATACAGTATCATTTCCTACGAAACTGTCAGACTGAATAAGTAGCTCTTTGACTCACAGGCTCACGTGAATCAATAGAAAAGTTGGTTGCAAAGCCATTGAATCCAAACAGTGTAAACAATTCACAAAGACAAAGATTCTAGCCTGTTTCTCAAAACTAAGGGCTAAACGACCTGTTCATTGACAGCAGAGGCTACCATTATTTTCTTACATTTAAAACACACCGTCCAGTCAAAGGAAAAGTGTTTTCTTTTGTTTATGATTGCAGCAGCAGAGAAAAATAAATGTTACCAATTACCAGGAATGGAGATCAATAAATTAGATGACAAAGCTCTGGCTGCAATCTTCAGGTCATCTCACTGGCTGTGCTTTCTCGGGCCCGGCAGCGGTGGTCTGGTCCAATGCGCCGAATTCCAGTGCTCCCTGGCAGCTTTTCATTGGTATGACTTATTAGACTAGACTGTTTCGATCGACTATACCTGACTGACCAGTCGGTCATGATGACTGGTGGCGTTGATTGATGATTGAAAGCATGGTTTTGGATCTTTCGCTGATCGCACATGACTTGCGTGGGCTTTTTTGTGCAGAACATGACTCAATCAAGACATATATTAACCCACAGGTCATGTGTGTAATGAACCGAATATATAATCTATTTTTCAGATTAAAAGCATCAACAAAGAACACCATAAAAGCAGTGTAATACGTTCATGATGTCGACACACTCGGTGGATAATGAAGGAAAACAGATCATCATGACGCGACATGATTTCAACAAGCATCATAAACCGTTTTCAGACTACATACCAACTACCCAAACATATATCAGATACAATCCAAGTAAAGAGACAATGCCTAACAATGTGAAACATTTACATAAGAAATAACATATGAATAAGTAGCATTACATGAATATAGATGTCATCAACATAGACTTAAAATAGACCAAAAATAGACCTAAAAATAGACCCAAAATAGACCCAAAATAAGGCTGGAATAAGCAGAATTAGCTTGGGCAGAAAATAAGGCAGGAATAAGCCCCAAATAGCTTATTTTGGTATTAATTATTAGGCCGAGGAATCAATTTGGAAATGATCATCAACCCACTACTAAAGAGATTTCACAGCACCACGTCCAGCTGAAAACAAACACAAATATACAGTTCTGTTACCCATTGATTCAAAACAATGGATGAGCAGGTGCGGGCAAGTGGACTCGACAGACACACCCTGTGCGGAATTGAATTGCCGGCCTCAGATGGATTTACAGCTCACTCCTCAGCATCATCACTCACTCGTCGGTGTCCATGGCTTCACCTGGTGCTGCAGACTCAGAGGCTGCTGATGGTGCCACCTGACTAGGGTCAATCTGCTGCGGGTCAGGAGTATCCTCGTCGTCCTTCGGCAGTCCTTCCTCAGTAGCAGGCTCTGCCTTCTCCTCCACCTCCACAGTGTCCGGTGTTGCTGCCGATTTGGGTGTTGCTTTCAGCACCTTTGATGGTCGGCCACCAATCGCGGACTCAATTCTCTCCAGACTTGTAATCATCGGGGTCTTCGGTGGCGTTGGGGCCTGCTTCTCCTTCTTGCGCTTGGATGGAACATAGTTTTCCTTCGACTTGCCTTTGTCTTTGTCAGTACCAGTATCCTTCGCTGACTCTGATTTCAACTGAGCCAAACGAGTGCCAATTGGCATTGCATGAGAGCTCTGCACAGCTTTGTGACAAAAGCGATTCTTGACATTCGGGTCTGATGTACAGACCAAAACCATGTCAATCTCGTCCAGGCCAGCGACATGAGAAAGGGCAAAGTCTTTCCCAGCTGGCAACACAAGCTCTTTGCCTTCAGCCGGGACAATCAGTAACAGCTCTCCATTGGACAAAGTTTCAATGCGTGGGCAATCCTTGTCCGATTCATCTTCTTCTCCTCCCTCAGACTCGGCCGCTTTGTCATCGCCATCAGCACCAAATAGTGATTCTATCTCTGTGAATGACTGCCTGGCATGCTCACATCATCAGCCCTCTCGTCATCATCATCAATTGGCTGCCTGGCATCACTGGTCGGTGGTTTGGTAGATGATGTCACTGACGCTGTCCCAGGCTTTCGGTGCTTGCGAGCATCTGGAGGCAAGGGAGCAGCGCCTGTCAGACACGGGTTGACAGTTGACAGGAGTATGTCTGTGGCTGTGGATGATGATGACAAATGACAAAGTGACTTGCTATCGTTTAAGTCATTTGTCAATGTTTTTTTTGTTTAATTGAGGGTCAAGCCAATGTTAATTAGATTAAATTCGTAATCACCTTTTAAGTTACAAAAACAACACGTTTTCAGCTGAACGCCTGCCTGCAGCAGCAGATTCCATGCCCCTCATGAGGAGTGGCCGCGTTGCAACACCAGGACCTGTTCTCTGGCTGGCTTCAGTCTTATTGTTCTTCACTTTTTTGGATGGCTTCCCTTTCTCAGTCTCATTATCCTTTACCTCAGGCACGACCTTGCCAAAGGCCTTCAAGAAGAGGTCGTCGCAATATTCAGGCTCATTGTCCCCAGGGTTTCCTCCAGCCAATGCCCACTTCCCACCAGCTGCGTAGACAAAGTACTCTTCACCTCCCTTCTTCAGTGGTGGCAATGACACAGCCTTCCCAGACTTTACCTCGACCAACGTGGGTTTGCCTTTGCTTGAGACCTTCACTTCATAAGGCTCAGACTCGGGTGATTCCTTCGCGGCCACCACCGCATCATTGGCCTTGTCATCCTTGGTGATGGCCTTGCGGACTGTCTCAGGCAGCTCTGGCGGCTCGCCAGATTCCAACCTTTTGGGGAGTTTCCATTTCCATCCCCCCACTGAGCTCCTCTTCAATTCGCCCTTGCGGTACTGGTCAAGTTGAACCTGCATGAACTTGTGGATCTCAGCTGGGCCCAGCCAGTGGCTTTTGCTGGCTCGCCACGCCTCTGGTACTGAGCAGCCGCACCGTCAAGGACCTTCTGCTTCTCTTCCCTGAGTTTTGTTTTATTTGATACGATCCCACTCATATTCAAATCACATCTATTTTAGATAGTCGCTAGTGATACAATGAAAAAACATAAATATCCAAAACAACTTACTGACGATAGTGTCTAGTTGCGATAGCTTGGGATCATCCGGCAACCATCCAGTGGCAAAGGCGAGTGCGCTCAAGAGTTTGGATCGCTTCTCATACTGGTAGACATCCCGACTCAAGAATGTGGAATCGCATGCTTCAAGCCAATCCACCAAATGGCAATCCTGATATGTTTCAATGTTTTTTGTTAGATGACAATGATGAACTAGTCAAAGTTGGTCACGGAAATAGTTTTAAATAAAATCAAAAAACATTCATCTGATTGTCCAACGAGGTTCCACAAAATCCTTGATTGTGACCTGAGACCGGTAATACTCAGTCTGAATTCTCCTCCCCCTTGAAGCTTCGTCATCCTTCGCCTTCCTGCCTGGCTTGGCCCGCTTTGACTCCCTGCCACGCTCTCGCTCACGAGGTGTCTTTGATCCCTTGGACTCAGTCAGGCTTGGCTGCGTCACAGCCTCACCCATGAACCTGAGCTTTATCAAAGATGTGCTTTTGCTGACAACGACTCAATGAATCAATCAATCTACTAAATTAAAGTTGTTATGCCCACACCAAATATAAAAACAAAAATGACATCTTTAATAATTGGTGCAAGCCACCTATCATCATCTGATGACCCGTCGGACTCTGATGATGCAATGCGATGTTTTGGAACAACTTCACGGTCACGCTTTGACAACTTCTTCGCAGGCGGCGGTGGAGGTGGTGGTGCATGACGCTTGGGGGAACGTCCCCTAACTGGCTCTGCGGCTTCAACCTGTCGTGGCATTGCCCAAGCCGCTACGCACGCAAAGCAATGACAGCAGTCACCAACAAGACTCGAGCAACAAAGCGTCTCACTGTCAAAAGTGGTGTTGGCAGAATCTCAGACTGAAGGCAGAAATGATTGGAAAAATACATAACTAATTGCAACTAATGCTCTAATCGCCCTGCATTTCAGACACCGGACGGACCTATGGCAACGATACATGTTTTCTCAAAGACCGGAACTATGGCAACGTTCCTTTGACATTGATTATATCATTCGCTGCCAGTGTTTTGACATGACGTGTCTGTCAGACGTGTGATTGCATTGAATATAAAGGTTTTTAAACGTATTATTATAAGTAACTCCAAGAATTGAAATAAGTTGTCAAACACTGGACATCTTGAAGCTGCACATTGCCACCAGCTGCACTACTGCAGCTGTCATGAAGTGAAACGAATTGCCTGCGACAGAAGCAGCCCTCAAGTTGTCAGCCAGAGGAACCACTGGCACTCCCATAGCCTGGGCTGTAGGCCCATTGACTGGAAAGCCTAAAGCTGCCAGGCGATC